ATTTATAACGGGTCAATAATTTGAACCCGACCCGGGTCTGAACCCGGCCCGACCCGCAAAATTTCGGGTTGAACCCGACCCGTCCCGTACCCTAACAACATACATAAAATTTTACATAACTCTACATAAAAATTCTACACAAATCTACATAATAACAACTTCGTGATGTATATTTATAAAAATCGACCAATCAGACGAACTTTTGTTTATGAGAATTAAGCAAGCTATCGAAGATTTAGAATAGTATCGGTGAGTTACTCAGGTATTGGCAATGATCCGATTTGCTGTAATGATCTTACAGTAAATGGAGATTAAATTTTATGCAGGGTACATCTCTAGTTTCAACATGGTTTCAACCTGTTTCTTATTGGCTGTTATATACTGTATATTTCAATTTCACTATATATTCACTAAATTATACCAGTTTCGCTTGCAACTCCGGGTATACACTACCTTCAAATAAATAATTTAGTAAAGCATTCAGATCTCTGTAAGTGTATTCTAATTGGGTTTACCACAAAATCCCGAAAACCATTTTCCCGAAAGAACATAATACCGACTAAATTGGCCAACATTATAATTAATGCCGGCTAACTTTGTCGGTATTGGGTCCTTTCAGGAATCTGTCTTCCGGATTTAATGGTAAACCCATTCTAATTAAATGCGCGATTGGCATATAAATGTCGTCAAAGGAAAACCTGGCATCAGTCTTTCAATTATATTTTGTGTACAATTAGCCGTCTATGGAAATCTATCATCATGATAGATTTTTCATAAATGACTAACTGTAACAAAATATAATTGAAAGCCCGATGCCAAGGCTAAGTTTTCCTTTCATATGTAATTGGTGTCGGCACGGAAATGCAAATTAGGACAGACGAATCATGATATTACGCACGGTTTATAAAAGAAAGAATTCTTCTACTCTAATATGAAAAAGGATAGTACTCGCACTTGTCTTAACTCTAACCAAAAAAATGGTTACTTGTAAAATTTGAATTTTATAAGTCTACATACATCCACCTGAATCTGTACTATGGGTATACAGTAACACTATTTTTTACTGAATATCTTTTAGTATATTAGGAATGTTAAAAAATCCATCAGGTATAAGAATGTATAGATCTTCGTAAAACCAGGACCTGACCGTAAAAGACGAGAACCGAATGATTCTCGGTCTTTGGTTCGAGATGGTCCTGATTATGGTCCAGCGATTACTAATAATAATAAATTAATATAACGATAAAGGAAATAAAATGCACAAATAAAAAATAACATTTCCATAACCCTTTCTAATCATGAGCGATGACAGCAATAAAATAAGTGCTGAAGTTCTAAAATGTGGCAAGAGCAATTCTATTAAAGAGTTGACTTCAAAAAGGATTTTGCAATTGGATAGTTAAACATCCATGTACTTAATTTTTTTTGTTAAATTAGTTTTGCATATAAAATACATATTCATATTTTATACAGTATGTGCTATATTTATTAAAAACTTGGTCGTTAATCAATAAAAATTTTAACATTATGCATTGAAAAATTATAAGTCGTGAGATGATTCTAGGACCGAAAAACGGACCGACCGACTAACATTATAAAATCAGTTCTATAAGCTGGGACTGACCGTGACGGACGGTTGATCCATGTTTGAATTAAGAAATTTTTCATTAAGGAATCACTAGTAAAGTCGGACCATCCCTAATCAGCGATCATACAAAATTTATATGTTTGAAGTCTGGTTTTCCCTTGGCGTCGCTCATATAATATGAGGAATAAAATACGTGTAATGAATAGGCGAAATCGTAGATACAAGCACTCAACAAGTTTAATAGAGATGATTATATATATGAAACCAATACAATATACAGTAAGTCAATAATGTGATAATTGACAACATAGTCAAGAGATACGATATAAATAAGAAGTCTTTATTTATAAAAGAGGGATCGCTTAGAACCACTCATAATTCCTATTTTCTTTGCATGCTACCGGTAGGTCCTTACTTCCTCCTCATCTTAAACAGTTACGCGACTTCCTTAGACCCGCGTTTAATTAAGAAATACAGTAAATGTCTATCGGGTTACTATAATTTGGGTTAGGTGCGTTTATAGGTAAAATTACCTCCCCGACATTTTTTGTCAATGCTTAAAGGTGAGTTCAGACTGTCATCCCTTATATTTTTCGCATTTTTCTCTTGGCAGGTTTAAAATTGGTCTAGCATTAGAGTGTCCAGATTAAGATGCCCGCACAAACGTCATATATTTTAAATACTAAAAATAAAAATTGATCACATTTTATGTGTCTATTATGATGTCTGGACTCTCTACGTACGTACCTAGCATGGATTTGTCTAGTGTTGATTAAGTCATAGTCTATTTAGTCTATTAACGTCGTCAATCGGTTGGTTAAAAAATCTCCCGGTGATACAATTACAAATACAGACAATAATAATTGTGGGGAACCAACATGAGGAAAAACTAAGTTGAGGTCATAGAATAATAATTATAGAATAACAATTATCCTGAAAATTTTGCACAAATGTCTGTGCACGAAAATTTTATTATTCAGGATTATATTTTTTGTGTATACTGCACAGTAATTGTTAATTTAAGCAAACGTATGGGCCGATTTTTTGATATACTTTTCAAACCGATCTAATTCTGATCATTTGGCCCTTGGCTTATCAGGTTTAAACTGATAAAATGATCAGCAAATTTGACCAGAATTAGATCGGTTTGAAAAAAATCGGCCCATACCGAATTTTCAACACTGTTAATTAAGAACTAATTCGCAGTCTTAATATAAAATGTAGATCATTTCGTAATGTATACGTACTCTTTATTGAAGATGGTGTAACGGTAAAAAACAATTACTAAAGTTCACCAATCGAATTACTTAATAACGATAACGATAATTTTAAAGCAGAAATGCAAAATATTGTTCATGACTCTCTTTTATTAACCTTTATCGATATGCAAAAATTATAGTTTCGGACCGGCCCTAAAAAGTCTGAACCAGTTTCCTGTGGGCTATTTAACATCCTGAATACACGTACGTACGTACGTATTTATATGTATGTGTATAATTAGTGTTTATCAGTTATAGTTAGTCGGTTTTACTAATAAAAAACCGATGTTTGATAGACCAATTTTTCTACGTATAATTATCATTAATTAATTTAATTAATTAAAAAGAAAAGATTTTCAGACCATCTTTTTTTTCTTTTTTTAGAGATATTGTTATTAAACCAGGACGAAATTTTAATATAAATAAGACTAAACATGTGTATTAAAAAAAACAGTTTTGAATCATATAATAAAAATGATTTCAGAAACAATTTTCAACCAAATTTTTTTACGTTTTTGTTTATTATCTTTTTTAATTCTAGTTGTTAAAACTGCACCACTTAAGAAATCTAACAGTGTTAATATTCTCAAATCGTGTCCCATCAAAGGTCAAATCGTATATCCTAATGATTCAGTGTATAAACAAGATATTACGGGTGAAAACACTCGTGTAACTTTTCATCCTGCAGCGATTGTATACGCTATTGACGCAGAAGACGTGCAAACTACTGTTAAATGTGTAAAGTCTCTAAACCTAACTATCTCTGCCAGATCAGGAGGTCATTCCTATGAAAAATATAGCACTTTTGGTAATGTGGTTGTGGATGTCTCAAATTTAAACCAAATTAATATCAATAATGAGGCAAAGACTGCAGTCATAGGCTCAGGAAATAGGTTAGGACCTATCTATTACAATTTAAGCCAAGCCGGATTTTTTATTCCGGCCGGATCTTGTCCAAGTGTTGGTATAAGTGGGCACGCTTTAGGTGGTGTAAGTATCTTTTTATTTTATTATTTATTAGTATCATCATTTTTATAATAGCAATTGAATCAATTCTTTTCTTTTATAGGGAATCGGGTTATATGCAAGGAAATATGGAATCGCTTCAGATAACGTTCTTTCTATTGATATAGTTAATGCTAATGGATTACTAATTACGGCTAACGCAAACCAAAATGAAGATTTATTCTTTGCCCTTCGTGGTGCCGGTGGTAATAATTATGGAATCGTAACATCATTTACTTTTAAACTTCATCCTACTCCTCCTAAAGTCACATCCATTAAATTCGAATACAAAGACTCTGAAATTCAATCAGTTTTCGATACAATTAAAGAACTTGGTTCCACATTAACAGATGATATAACATTTGATATGCTTTTGGATTCATCAACTTTAGAACTTCAAGGAGTTTATCAAGGAACAAAAGAGAATGCACAAAAAGATATGGAAAAATTTATTTCATTAACAAAACCAACTTCAAAAAATTTTTATGAAGAATCACTTTTCAAAAGTGTTGTAAGATGGGGTTTTGCATCGCTTAATGAAACGATAAATCCAATTCATAATCCCAATAAATTTAAAGTTAAATCATTCCTTGTAAAATCACCTGGTCTTTCGTCTGAAGGTATTCAAACAATTAAAAATTTTACTTCAAAATTACCTAAAGATTGTCAAACCTATGCGTTATTCGATCTATTTGGTGGTGCAATTAATAGAGTTGCCGCGGATGAAACCGCATTTGTACATAGAGATATATTATACGGAATTCAATTATATATGACATTGACTGGTGATCCAGCTACAAACAAGAAATGTGTTGATCAAATTAATAAGTTTGGTGTTAATTACCAAAAATCATTTACTAGTTATTTTAGTTATCAAAATTATATTGATAGAGATTTAGATGATTGGCAACATAGATATTATGGATCAAATTTTCAAAAGTTAGTCTCTGTGAAAAGAAAGTTTGATCCAAATAATTTTTTTAAATTTCCTCAAAGTATTTAGAATTATTGATAATTATTTTAGAAAATAACTAATTTTAACCGGTGGTGATGCTAATTGCCTATAATTTTTTAGGGTTAGGGTGCAATTTTAATATGAAATAGAGTGTTTATGTAACATAATAAAAATTTAATATAGAGGTCCAAATTTTGTTACGCATAAGGTTTTGGGATTTTGAACATTTTTAATTACTTAGTATGTATGTTTTTGAGATATAGCACCTCCTGGTTACTTTATTATTTTATACCTGAAATATACTTTGTATATTTGATAATTTGATACATAAAATATAAATTTTATTTATATGGTGCGGGACATCTAGTCACGTCAAAGCGCTGAATTTTGAAATATATATATAAACATATATAGTAGCGCTGAAATTTTAATAATTAACGCTGAATTTT